TGTAACTCATCGGCGAAGTTGTTGCCTCGAGCACAGTACCTTCTATCAAATTATTCCCTTCAGAAATTCATTTTCAGATGTTCTAAAAAGTTTGGGAATTACCACAAAACTTCCAGCTTTCTTGGACAAGCTCGAATTTTTTATGAGTTAAATCAGTTACAAAAATTCAAGAATCCATGTTTTGACCCCATCTTTTTCACTTTCGAAAGAAAAGGTGTATTCGTTTGTGGCTTCGCGATAACTCCTTTATCAGTGGATTCTTGTAAAACGCTCGAGGCGGTGATTTTTCGCAAAAATTCCTTGACACTGCTTAGTAAAGCGTTATCCCACTTAATTTGATTTTTAAAACTACTTGCAGAGCTGGCCTGATAATTGGCAGCAGTTCTTTGCAGCGCCTAAAGGGGGAGCAGTCTTGTTTAGTTAAATACACCATTGTTGAAGCAGACAGGAAAAGTATACTTCTGCTACCGCAAGAGTGCTTCAAGTTCAATAAGTACCACAGCTGTTAAATTCGAGCTCGATTATTCTAGGATGAAAGTTCTGTGAAATTCTTAGGTTTTATCTTGGCACTGATACATCTTCGGGCAATAGGTTTTATGCGGCAGGAATTTCTGAGGCATTGTTTGCAAAAAAATGCTTGTGAAATGAACTAGAAGACCAAGGAAATGCACGCGCAAGTCGATGAAAGACAAACTTGCACTAACTTGCTCAGTCCACTAACAATCCACTGACTTGCACAGTCCTAAAGTACGTGAGTTTTTTTTTAAAAAATAAACAGCCTCAAAAATCAGTGCAGAGAATTAGGGAAGTTGTAAATTGCTCGATGGTTTTAGTCGATTTGCTGAAGAGGAATCTTGTGTTTCCAAGAGTAACGGGGTGCATTTGCAATGTATGAACATTAACGAATGCAAAGGAGCAGGAGGTGCCACTGACAAAGTCAAACGAACAATAACTGCACAAATGTCCGCAAAAAGGTTCGACAAAAAAAAAAGAATCATGTGGGAATTGGTATAATAATCACGACAGAGAATAAAATCCGCTAGAAAGGGAAATTACTCATTTTGGTGAAAGCCAATCAACAACACGAGTGGCACTTGGGAAGGGAAACTATCTGTCTGAATAGCAGTAGAATAATAAAATGAGTGTCACCCTGCTAATACAAAGTTGATTTTGACATAAAAAACAACCAGTTCTGAGGACCGCTGACAATCTCAAGAAAACCAGATCATTCGATTTGGGAACCACTTCAAAGCGGGGCCATTGAGACAACCAGTCCCTCAGCGATTCGTTCCGGTAGTAAATTGATGTTAGCACATGCCAGGGAGTCAAACCCGCCATCAGCTTGCTTGTAAGCAGCCTTCAGAAGAGAGAGCCATCGAAAGCCTTCACAGAAAGTAATTGCTATTGACATTTGCTACCACTCATGCTACTTCTCACCTACTACTGAAAGCGAAACATGAGGGAGTT